AAACAGAGGGGTGGGGACTAGGCCACGCCTGGCTGTTTGGGGAGGTATAGCCTCCCCTAACCGGCCCTCCATACAATTTCCAAAACCCCATGCAGCCCTCAGGCCAAAAAGTTTGCCTGCCCCTGTCCAGATAGTGGGTGGGGAAGGGCCTATTCAGGGCAATTAGCCATTAGGAAAAAACAATAGGCCTTAGGAGAAGCTTATCTCCCACCTGGTGAGCATTCCTGTGAATGCTACAGAAAGTCTGCTAGTAATGGCTGCTATGACTCTACAAGGACATGTAATGAGACCACATGTCTCTAGACTCCATCTTGGGATGTCAGTATTTTTCCACAGACTGGTCTGAGAACCAAGCTTTGGAACAAAGGGTTCCCGCCCTTTGCAAAAGCTATAAGGCAGGGAGTGACATCGCCTGAGGTTCTTCACTTCCCACCCAAGAAGACTCCTGGAAACACCTGAGGAACAAAGACAATTGGGGGAAGTGCTGGACACAGGCTAAATGAAACACCTGGGGATTCCAAGCTGTAAAGCAAGTGCAGCTTGCCCCTTAGTGAAAGCTTGCAGCCTGCTTGTATTATCTCCAAGTGTGAGAATCTGCTACGCGTATCCAGTCTATATACTGTATTTGGCTTAGTTTGCTTTTTTTGTTTATATGCTATGTAATCTGCTTTGATCTGTTTGCTATCACTTATAATCTGTCTTTTGTAGTTAATAAACTTGTTTTTGCTTTATCTAAATCGTGATTTAGAGTGAAGTGTACGGGAATCTTAGCTCAGGGGCAAAAGGCTATTGTATATTCCTCTCCACATTGAGGGAGGAGACTAATTTTATTTTTTTACGCTGTACAGTTCCCTGTGCAGCGCAAGACTGTATAATTTTGGGTTTATACTCCAGAGGGGGTGCATGCCTGGGGAGCTGCCTTAACTGTAGCCTTTCTATGCAGGGACTGGTCAGAGAGCCTGCATGTAACTGCAGTGGAGTGTCCCCGTACCTGTATGTAAATGTATGCTGGTGAAAGTGCAGGCTGGAGGGCTTTGCAGCTTGTCATAGCAGTATAGTGTGAGAGGGTGGGCCAGGGGGCTCAGTGGTACCCCAGTTCCAGGTGGCACCCCGGGGGGAACCCGTCACACTGGGTAGGTGTGCAGTTGTGCCTACTTCATTCATGTATTCTCAGCTGTGTGTATGCAAAGCCTGAATTGCATGCACAGATGGCTAGATAGAGATCTACTTTCAGGCAGCGTGTGCACAAAATAAGCATGCATATGAGCTCAAGAACTAATCATTACCACTAATTATTATTGTTTATAATATTAGCTCCAATTTGTCCCTGGTGTAACTCCACTGAAGTTACTGACCCATTATTGTCATATCCTCTTATTAGTCAAACTCTGTTGATGCTAAAGAGTTAAATGAGTATACTAAGAGGCTCAAGCAAAGTGAGTAGAGAACCAATCATAAGATATTAAAGGCTGTGAGCTACTACATGAAAAAGTAATTAAATAAAAATAGCGTGTTTAAGTCTCAAATGAGATAAACCCTTCCTTTGGGAACCTGTGTACTTAAAATCATTTAAAGACTCAACTAAATTTCCCTTGCAAAGAGTGGTTAACACCACCACCACAATCTCCTTTTCTCAGATAAGATTTGAATATAAAAGAATCAGAAATGAACCAGAAATTTCTTTTGCACACTAGTTACAGTAATCAAATTGATCTAAACACTCCAAATCTCTGCTGGAGAAGCTGTTGGCAGACAGGACACTATCCCCTCAAATTTTCTGGGACTGCTCTCAAATCCAAAATCACTAGTCTATATACACAATAACCTACAAAATGCCTCTAATGCAATATCTGATGAAAATCTAATTTACTTTATAGTGAGAAATACCCTTCAGATTGCTAAAGAATTACATCTATTAAAAAGTTAACAAATTGCTAAGAAATGTGTCACCATTTTATGGCTCCCAAAAAGATGTGGCCAGACAAGATAAAAGAAATATAAGACTCAGAAGAAATTACTACCCAAATCTGATAATCCCAGGGTAAATTCATAGAAAGATGAGCTGTAGCAGATTTATATGAAATCTGCAGCTCGCTAAAAAACAAAACAAAACCAAAAACAGGCCAACACAATTAAATCCAAATTAATATACTAACAAAATAAATCGGTCTTTCAAGGGAAATACAACACAGCCACACCAACTCTGGAAATCTCTACTCATGAATAATAATACCACACCAAACTCTATATATATTGGCTCACCTGCATACCTACTTGCAACTTGTTTCCAAATGAATGTATTGTATTAAATACCAGCTTGATTGACTATTACCAAGGCAATAAATGGACTGTTATCCCTTTATTACATCCTGTTTACACGACATGTCTATGTATTCTCTGTAACAATCCCTTTAAATTATGAATAAATTATTGTAAGGAAAAGGACTTTATTGGATATCTACTTAATCAAGTTCTACTTAATGAGTAAAGGGACACAGCTTCCCAGTAAATTAACAGAAGATATTTTATTTAAACACAGCTGATTCTTAACAAAGCCCTACAGCTAAAGGAGTGAACACTTCATTTATCCTTCCTCTGCTTAATACAAACACCAACTGCCTTGACTGATTTCCTTCTCATTCACAGAAGGTTGCTTTTGCAGAATGCCATTGCTGCAAGATGTCCCTATGTAAAAGAGACTGATACCTTTTAAATAATAGGAAAGTGAATCCACCCCAAGGCTGTATTGTAGCCATTAGTTAGTGCATACTGGCCCTTGACATGTGACAGATACATAACCTTGGCCCATATCACGTGACTGAGGCCAGGTAATAAAGATCTGTCCCTTGTAAGCACTCATGCAGGTTACAAATTTATTACACAGTGTTGTAATTATTCTGGGGAAAATGAAGCCAATAAAAGTCCTGATCCTGGAATGAGCTCTGCATAGGTGGACCTCTGTGCCCACACTGAGCCCCACTGACTTTTCTGGGGCTCCATCTACTCAGAGAGTTACTTTTGGGAGGGAATTCAAGGGAGGATTGGGGCCAAAGTGCCTTGGATCTGATACAGATCAGAACTTGGACAGTCCCACTTTAAGGGTCTGAGGAATGCAGAACCACTCTGTTATTTTAGGGACTGTCCTGTGACTATTAGGATAGGTGGGAACCTGGCAGAGACCTAGAAATTATTAGAATGCTTCCAAATTTTCCTGGAAGCAAGTGGAAACATGTGAAAATTGTATACATTTTTAATTCCTTGATCTTAATTCTTTCCCATACTTTGTATCTAACATCACTTCCTTTAAAAAAACAAACAAACCAGGAGTACTTGTGGCATACAGACTAACACAGCTGCTACTCTGAAACCTATCACTTCCTTTTGTTCATTTCCACTCACTTCATGCTGTCAGCAGCTGTAACATTAAAAAGGAACGTTCTAACCAAATGAAACACAATCAATCATGGACAATGTTTATTGGAAATCAGAGCAGACATACATAATATTTAGTTCAGTAATTACTTGTCTCCCTTCTCCTCGCAGAAATTAACCAGCATGCTATTCTCTAGCATATACTATTTTCCCACTGAAGGACAATATTAAGTGAGCATATTTTCCATTCCTTATCATTTAAAAGGCAGCTCTTACATGGCTTCAATTTTAGGGCTATGCTATATACATATTGGTCATATTAGTACTAATGGAACTTAATTATATGCCTGGAGGCAACATACATAAATACATTCTCTGGGAAAAATATCAGTTTTCACCTTTATTTGGATTGAACAGAATAATTTATTATAGGTGAACTTAACTCAATTCTACCTAGCAGAAAAAAAAAAAGATGTCTAAGACTCACAAATCTACTTCTTCACTCCTGACCTGTCTCCTTCAGCCCAAATTAAAATCTCAGCCTTACTGACATTTCCTTGTGGATGTCCAGCCATCAGCTTAAGCTCAATAGCCTGATCCCTGGTGATGGGACTGCAGCTGTCAGCCCTGAGGCTGCGAAGCTCCAACTGTTCCCTTTATCCCCACCTCCAGGATGCACAGTCCGCCTTCTGCATGAGCTTCAGCCACCCAGGACTGGCAGCCAGAGCTCTTTAAAAAAAAAACAAAACACACAGCTGGTGCCTCTGGGCATACTCCCACCCCTCCCTTGGGAGGCATGCCCAGTAGTTTGAGAACCCGATTTAAAACATTTTAGTGATAATTAGCTGCAGTCAGCACACAGATCCTTTTTGTTGGTGTGGCAGGGTGATGAGTGGCTTTTTTTCTACATCTTCTAGGTGGCAACCCTAAGGATGGGGGCTAGGAAACTCAAGCCAGGAAGCAGGAGAGGAGGGCCACACCCACCTGCTAGGGAAGGAGACAGTCAAATATCAGGGGGTAGTCGTGTTAGTCTGTATCTACAAAAACAACAAGTCCGGTGGCACCTTAAAGACTAACTGATTTATTTAAGCATAAGCTTTCGTGGGTAAAAACCTCACTTCAGATGCATCTGAAGAAGTGATGTTTTTACCCATCATGCATCCGATGAAGTGAGCTGTAGCTCACGAAGGCTTATGCTCAAATAAATTTTTTCACTTCTCCATGCATCCCCCCCAAACAAAATAAAGCCACGGTTCCCGGGAGAAATTTCACAGAAACTGTCGAGCCCTGACTGGCGAGGCCGGTCCCGGATCAGCTCCCCAGCTCCCCGCTTCCACGAACTGCGCCACGCTGCAGCCACCCAGCACCTGCGGCTCGACCCTAGGGCCCCATCCCAGCCGGCTACTCCGGCCTCTGGGCGGGGCCCGAACGAGGCTCTTCGCTCCGCACCTCCCGCAGCTGGGAGAGGAGCGGGGCGGAGTTGCCCCCGGCACTGGCCGATGCCCCCACGCCCTCCCGGGTCAGCGCCGGTTCCGGGCGCGGCTGCGGGGCGGTGCCTGCCTTTGCCTGGCCTAGCCCGCGCTGCCCAGTCGCCCCGCCGGCGCTGCCAGCCATGGCCGCCTCCAGCGCGCCGCCCCGCGCACGGGCTCTTCTGCAGCAGTGTTTGGCCTCCCGGCTGCAGGTGAAGCCCGCCGAGCCGGGCTCCGGGGCCGAGTGGGTGGAGGTAACGTGCGCAGCGGCCGGGCCATCGCGCCTCTCCTTCCGGGCTGCCGCGGCAGGGACAGCGCCTCTCTCCCGGCTGAGCCCGCTCGGCGCTTCCGCGCTGTTTGCCCCCAGCCCTGCTGCGCGGGGAACGGGGAGCAGCGCGCAGCGCAGCGTGTTTCCGAGGGAAGCCACGCGCCTGCGCGGCCTGGCTCTGCTCCTTGGGGACCGGTGTAACGTGGGCCACTGCGCTGCGTAGGAATGTGCGACTGACGGTGTCCTGAGCATGCTCAGTTCATCTGCTGAAGCCACTGCCCTGACACCCGTAGGATTCTGCTGACTGCTTTTGACAGAGGTTAAAAAGTGGCAAAGGGGGCGGGGCGGAGCAGGGGGTGGGAATTTACTGGTGGGGGGGGGTCAAGCAGCTGGAGGCATTAGCAGTAGGAGGGGGGCTAAAGGGAAAATCAGGGATGGGGAGGAGGCGGCGGCAGAGTTAAGCCCAGGAGTAAGGCGCTGGCAGAGGGTGTCAGAGGGCAAAACCGGGCACAGGGGGTAACAGTTACCCCAGTGGCACTGAGACACCAGTGCTTTGCAAAATAGTTTGTTGGGGGCGGGGGGCGAGAGGCTTTTTTATTTGAACAAAGTGGCTTTTTTGTATGGACAGACGAACTGAGCATGCCCAGTAACATGTGCTGAACCCACTGCCTTTCACCCTGCCCTTACTAGCCGTAAAAATCTGCTGACTGCTATTTACAGGGGTTAAAAAGTGGCAAAGGGGGCAAATCGGAGAAGGGGGGTGCCCAGGGTCAGAGCAGGGGGTGGAAGTTGACTGGTGGGGGGGGTGGTCAAGCAGCTGGAGACAGGATTGGGAGAGGGGCTAAAGGGCAAAATCAGGGCTGGGGGGAGGAGCAGGAGTTAAGCTGGTGGTGAGGCGCTGGCAGAGGGTGACAGAGGGCGAAACCCAGCCCAGGCAGGGGCACAGGGGGTTACAGTTACCCCAGTGGGACTGAGACACCAGTGCTTTGCCAAAATGGTGGGGGGCAAAGGGGCTTTTTTATTTCCCCTCTCACAGACAGCACCTCTCAGCATCGGCTTCCCAGAGCTGCGTTCTTAAAGTCACAGGCATTCCAATGCCCAGTCAATGCATCTCCTCTTTGTCTGATCTAACCTACTGAGGCTATGTCGACACTACAGTTTTCAAAGCGGTCACGGGTGCCAGTGCTCCTGGTAATCCACCTCAACGAGGAGATTAGCTCCCAGCACTGGGAGCCAAGCCTTACCACACTAGCGCTTTAAAGCGTTCAAACTTGCGCTCGGGGGTGATTTTTCACACCCCTGAGCCAGCAAGTTAGAGCGCTTTAACTTGCCAGTGTAGATAATCTCTGAGACCTAATTCAGTGAAACATTTTATATATATTCCCTTAGAAACAAAGAATCCCTTATCACTGTATCTGAATGCATAGAGTCTCTAAGCAGTTTCCCAAGTTGTTTTATCTGCTGCTGGGATTCCCTGAATTTTTAATTCTAATTTTTTCTTCTCATTTTGAGAACAGATGTTTATTCTGTTGGATCATCTGACTTCCATTCTAACTGAATTTCTGGCCTATTGTCAAAACTTTGTTTTGAGTCAGTCTACCAATGGTGTAAATATTGGTGGTCAGACCAATCCTCTGCCTAATCTAGTATCCTGTCTTGTGACAGTGGCCAATGCCAGGTGCTTCTAAGGGAATGATCAGACCAGGCAATGACTCATTGAACTATCCCATTGTCGACTCCCAGCATCTGGCAGTCAAAGGATGGTTTCAGGACATGCAGAGCATGGGCCTGCATCCCTGATTATTGTGATGAAGTGGGAATGTTTTTCATGTTTCCTCTGAATATTGTAGGGGTACCTCAGTTTCCCCTTGGGGCAGTTGCTATAGACCTAACTCCCTCCCCTTTCTGCAGCTCCATCTATGCATTATATGCAACATATGCAAGGGCTGTCATGCAAGAGGCCTACAGGCCTGTCTCCTGTAAGACTTGGCTTGAGCTAAAGCATTGACGTATGCTAGGCTGTGGCACTTGACACAAATAATGGACACAAATGACTTTCAAATAATTGTGAAAGTACTGCAAGACTCTGTGGTGATATGTGTTATTGTCAGTGAGCACTTTTGCTAGATTAACTCAGGTGTACCGGTCCCAATCATTTTGTAGCCTCTAAGACAAGATTGCTGAAACACAAAGTCCAGAAAGGTGTGGCATAGGCACTTAGACAAAAAAAGAGAGGTAGAAGTGCTCACATGTTTAAAAGACATATAAATTTAAAGACAGAGTTAAAAGTAAATTCATGTTCTATACCCGCCCCTGAATCCACCCGCTACCAGTTTTTGTTGCTTTAGAATAATTTTACAACTGCTTTTAAAATGTTTCTCTCCCCTTGCAAAAGAACCACATAAATAACAGAGAAAATAAGGCCCTCACACTGCAATGTGATGTGTGCAGGCTGACCCCTGCACTCATGTAGAGCACCACTGAAATTGTTGGGGCTCTGTGGGTGCAGAAATCCACCTGCATGAATCATATTACAGAATCAGCATCTGAGTACAAGGAAAACAGCAAAATTGGCTAGGCACAAAGTAAATTAACATAAATATTTTTTCCTTATCATTCCATTATAGTAATCTTAGGGATTTGTTGTAACAAGAATAGATAAAGTTTCAGAGGGAAATATGATTGTTGACTGTGTCCTTTTACATATTCAGAAAAGAGGGATAAACTACAATATGTTGTGATTTAAACCTTTCCAAGAATGTTATGCTGTTTAAATAAATCTCTTATTTCAGGTTTTAAATTATTTAACCTAAATCTGTGAAAGAGCAACATCCAGTAGAGGAATTTGCGTGAGGAATTGTACTATATAAACTAGCAGGTCCCTTCCAGCCATAAAGTGTATTTTCAGTGATCACTGCTCTTTTATCTTCCCTAGGCATTTCACTGGTATTTCAAGATGAGGCAAAAGCCAGTCACTCCACAGCAAAAAGTATGGAAAGAGCTGAATCCCTTAGCATAACATTTCTTTAGAGGGCAGTAATGAATTTCTGCCTTTGTGTTTCTTACTATAATGTTACCACTTACATGCTCTCCAACACAAAAATAAAAAAACGAAGACCCAGTAAATTATTACTAACACAAAATTTATGTTCTCAATAGTTTTAAATATTCTGTCATGATATTGGTCTCTGTGTTTAACAATCTGAGAGTGTTTTTACAAAACTGTGATGTGATTGAATATTATGTTAATGTCCGGAGGTATAGGACATTACTAAATTAGCCGTTACCGTGATTATCACATTTCAAATGAAAATTAATTCATATTTAAACTGAAAGTGACTTATTTGCATGTTTGACAGGAGAAAAGCTTTGGTTATTTTCTGCCTTGAAATTAAGTAATCAAATCCGTTAGGTATGAATTGTTTCTGCTGCTTATTTTCATTTCAGAGCATCTTTGAATACACAGTGTCACCATTCATACCTGTCCATGGCTTGTTCTCCATTAAGCCCAGCCTGGTCATGTCCCAGCATATAATGTCCCGGCATCTAGTGAGTGGTTGGCCTCTAGGTCAAACTCACCTTGGTTATTTTTACATTATTTTCTTTGCTATCCTACCATCTGTTTGGCTTCTGCAGTGTGCCTACCATTGTAATCTTTTTGATTGTAGTCAGTCCTATACCCTGATTTCACACCCTACTCTCTAACTTCATTTGTCTTAAAATCATTCCACTTTAGAACTGCTTCTTTCAAAGCACTGTCATCTCTGTTGTGTCCCTAGTCTTCTGATGTCTATTTCATGTAATGCAGCTGCTTCCAGACCATGGAGTAGTACTGTTAGTATACCAGTTTGATAAATTTTCACTCTGGTACCAAATATAATGCTTTCATCAGTCCATAAGTTCATTAGTTCCTGTGCAGCACTTGTGAGTATGGCACATCTCTTTTTAATCTCATCCTTCATGGAACCACCAACACTGATCAAGATTCCTAGGTACATATAAGATTCTGTTTGTTCCATGACTCCACTGCTGCTGCATTTAAACACTCATTCCCTTGTCCCTTTTCCAAGATGCAACCACTTTGTCGTCTTGGCATTTATTGTAAGGCCAAGTTGATTACACCAGTTTTCCAATGTAGCAAAGAGTATCATCGTTAATTCAAATGTGTCTGCCAGTTGTTGTCCTCTGTATAGGTTAAGGAGTTTAAATAGATTGTCCAATCTCATGTCTTCCAATTCGGGTAATAGTCCTAATGTCCAGTTTAAGAACATGATGACAAGTGACAGTGATTTCATGCCCCTTTGTCTTACACCAAATTTTTACTTAAACCAGTTGCTTAATTTTCCACACTGCAGGAGTCTTCATACATAGCTATTGTAATTGTAGTGATCTCATCTGGAACTTGATATGATTTTGCTACTTTCCATAATGCTTCCCTCCAAACCGAATCATATGCCTTCATGCACTCAATGAAAACAGCAAACTCTTTAATCCCCTTTCTGACTTTTTCCCGTCAACTATTGGAGCATGGATAACTGATCAATGCAACATTGGCCTGTTCCTTGCCTACTACTTACCCTTTATCTGTTGAAAATTACTTTCATCATGATTCTTCCCAATACTGACAATAAGCTTGCACCTCTATAATTATTTGGATTGTTAGGATCTCCTCTCTTTAAGATTGTTACTATTACCTTTAGCTAGTCATCTGCCATCTCCTGTTGCTCCCACAACTAGTAACATTTTTTTCCTAATTTTGTGATAGCACTTGTCCTGCCAACTTTTACCAACTCAGATGTTATATTGTCTACTCCTATTTTTAACTGTTTCACTGTTCTTTCTATATCTTCTTCTGATGGTAATTCAGTGCTGATATCCGTTCTGCCTTACCAGCTGCCTTGTTCATCTAGCACATTTAGAATGCTTGCAGCTGAATGATCTGCAGTGCTTAGCACTTTATCAAAATGCCCCTTCCATACGTCCGGCATGACTTGAGTATTTTTTGTCAGTCCACCAGTAGCTTATTTTACTGCTTGCATGTTGAGCTGATGTTTCCATGCAACTTACCCTTTTTGTCTGTTGTTTTCATATCTTGTTTTCTTGATGCCTCCTCGAGTTATTGAGCCTCTTCTTTCCAAAACTATTTCTTGTCCAGTCTTTGTGATTTCTTCACCCCTTTGCATAAAGCTTTTACCTCTGCTTTTCCAGTAGTCTCGGCTTGGTTACACTTTTCCTGTAATTTTCTTGTTTCATTGCTTGTTCAGCTTTTCCTTGTTTGCTTACGCCTTCCAGCAGTAGTTCTGCTGTATTTTGCATTGCTTTCTTGTATATTTCACATCTGGTCTGCAGTGACATTTCTTCATCATTACAAATTAACATTCTGAAACATCCTCCAACCATCACCTTATATGCTTCCCTCAGAGAGCTACCCTTTAATTTGTCAAGATCAAATTTGGCTCCAGTTGCACCCATCTTTTTCTTGGACTTTAACTTAATCTTAACTTTTGTCATTAGTAACTCATGATCATTGCCACACTCAGCACTTCTATAGAATCTAACCTCCAACAATGTTTGACTATGCCTTTTACTGATAATAATGTGATCAAATCTGGTTTTTGATTTGACCATCTGGTGAGTTCCATGTAGTCTTGTGCATGTCTTTGTGAGGAAGCAAAATACTATCAATAATTAGACTGTGCATTTCATAGCAAGTTCTTAATCTTTCCCCATTATCATTTCCTGTCTTCATGCCATGTGGTCCAGCACTGTTCATTTGCTTACCATGTCTGCTACCAGCTTTTGCATTCAGATCTCCCATAATCAAAGAAATCTCATCTACATTGTTGTCTAGCTGCTGATAAAACACATCCTCTTCTTCCTCGTTTGCTGTTTCTGTTGGTGCATAACAGCGGATCACAATTATGCATAGTTTATTGTAGTAGTAAATCTTATTATGACAATCCGCTCAGACATTGTTTCCAGCTGTTGAAGTAACTATTCTCTTGTTCACTGCTGTAGCAACGCCATCTCTATGATTAATTTGCCCACTTGAGTGTCCAGAATAAAGGAAAGTGTAGTTTCCAACTCTCAGCTTTCCTGTGCCCAGCCAATGTGTCTCCCATATGGCAGCAAGGGAAGCTTGTAACTTCCTTAACTCCTCCACTATGAGCTCAGTCTGGTCTGGAGTCAATAGAGTTCTAATGTTCCGGCTCACAATATGTGTAATATATCTAGCTGTTATCCAAAATCCATGACCCACTTCCATTTGTTAGGTCTGGGTTGAAATCTGTTTAGTTTGGTTTGCTGTTCTGTTTCTATAACAAGTGAGTTTCAGGTATAATGGCTTGTTAGGCCAGCCCACCGTATCCAGTTCATAGGAATGTCTTGTCATAGCCTTCTAGGAACAGATATCAGTAGTTCCACCCTAATTTACTTGCATTCCAAGGCGAACGATCTTGGACTGCTCAGTTTTGAAATCAGGGGTTTCCCGTCTCCTAGACAGACTTGCTTGAAGAGGCTCTGAAATTAAATGAGTTTTCCATCACCCAAATACTCTTGTTTCACAACATCTTATTCCGTAACCCCTTCTGGGTTTCCCCCATTCACCATGCAGTGGACTTGTTTCTGTGCCATTGGATCCCAGCATGAGGAAGAATTCTATATCTGCTTTTAATTTTAGCCTGTGTATTAATATATTGTAAATTGCAATTAAATTTGGGTTAATGTACAGATAATGAATTGTCTTAATTATATTAGTAAGTACCATACAGATATATAAACATATACACAATACTTTTCTTCTTTTTTTTTTTTTTGTGTGCAATCTTTCGTAGATCCAAAGAGGACTGGTTATCTACATATGCTTCTTCAAAGGAGCCAGTGAGGAACTAATTCCAAAAATGGGTATGTTTTATTATTGGTATTCTTACAATAAGGGATAAGCAAAAAACAATGGGCTTGTTTATCCAGCAGCTAAATGCATGAAGAAGCTACAGAATCAGGCCCAGTTTGAGGTCTGACTGGAGAGAGCAATAAGAACAATATCTTTCAAAAGAAACTTTTAAATGAGAACCTGTAAATTGCAAAATTTACTCCACACTGAAATTATTCGGAGCTGGTAATTTTATTCTGAGTTCTACCTTGTATCTCCCCAGTCATGAGTCTCCATTGCTGTCCTCCTTTCAGTGACTGTTTTGGCAGTAGCTCTGTATAGAAACTCTGTATAGAAGGCCATCAAGCTTGATGACATCAAGCTCCCTGCCTGTGAGCCGAGTTTTTCTTCCTCAGTCCATTTGACAGGTGTCTGCATCTCATCTTGTGTCCATGCACTAGTGGTGGACCCTGTTGGAAGAATGGGTATATTCAATGTAAACTGATTTTATTCTGGTTAATAACTGTAATGGGGTTCTCTCACTGTGAAGGTGCCTTCTGGCTGCTCAGGGGATTAGCTTTGTTCAGATCTGATACCCTCTTCATTATTTTCTCTCACCACGGTCCCTTTTGTTCTCTGGGACTCGCTGTGCTCCCTCTTTGTGACTTGGCCTTCTGCCCAGGTCATTATATGCGTTTCCCCTTCAGGGTGTATCAAAGTGTCTCAGGATTGACTGTCAGGCTAATTCAGGACTATCCTCTAATTCAGACTGTCCTCTAATTCAGGACTATGCCAGTGGCAGGTAGGGGAACCAGGACCCACCCACTACTGTGTTCCAGTACAAGGACCTTCTGATCAGTAACCACAGTCTGCTTATTGCCAGACCCCATTACTATTTCCTGTGCTCCTTCCTATATTCTCTTCCAGCTCTGGCCCCGCAAGGTTACTAGTGGAGCACCCTCTTCTCCCTGTGGCTATTTCATGTCTTTCAGGTTCTTGCCGGAGTGCCTAAGGGTACGTCTACAGTATGAAATTATTTCAAAATTATTCTATTCGAATTTTCGGAAACGATTTTATACATTTGGTCTTTTGTGTCCCCACTAAAGCGCGTGAATTCGGCGGAGTGCGTCCACAGTACCGAGGCTAGCATCGAATGTCGGAGCAGTGCACTGTGGGTAGCTATCCCACAGTTCCCGCCGCCCATTGGAATTCTGGGTTAAGCTCCCAGTGCATGATGTGGCAAAAACATTCTCGCGGATGTTTCTGGGTGTGTGTCGTCAGTCGCTCCTCCCTTCATGAAAGCTATGACAGAAAATCGTTTCAGGCCTTTTTGGCGTGCAGACGCCATACTGCTTTCAGCAGACCGTGCACCGCTGCTCTCCTGCTCTCGTCTTCCTATGTAATCTCTAGTATCTACTCTTTCTTCCTCATCAAACACTTCTGCTGCCAACTCTGCTCGGCCATCGTGAACTGAGCAGCACAGCTTCCGCCGCCAAGTCTGCTCTCCTGCTCTTGCCGCGCTACCGAGCTTCTCCATGTTGTTTGTCCTGAGCTCCCACCTCCGTGAAAGCTACAGAAGACAACCATTTCCTGCCTTTTTGCAGCTATCATGAACCGAACAGCACCTCTTCTGCTGCCATTCTGTTCTCCTATGTTTTACGCTCTTTTTCCAGGATTACCCATGCAGGCGCCATAGCCATGGAGCCCGCTCAGATCTCCACTGCAGTTTCGACCATTGTAAATACCTCGCGCATTATCCAACAGTATGTGCAGTACCCGCAAAACCGGCCGAGGAAGCAACGACAGCGCAATTACTATACTGATGAGGACATGGACACAGACATTCCTAGAAGCATGGCATGTCGCGATTGGGAGATCATGGTGGCATTGGGCCAGGTTCATGCTGTGGAAAGCCAATTCTGGGCCCAGGAAACAAGCTTAGACTGGTGGGACCGCATAGTGTTGCAGGTATGGGATGATTCCCAGTGGCTGAGAAACTTTCGTATGCGTAGGGCCACTTCCATGGAACTTTGTGACTTGCTGTCCCCTGCCCCGAAGCGCAAGGACACAAAAATGAGAGTAGCCCTCACAGTTGAGAAGCGAGTGGCCATAGACCTGTGGAAGCTTGCACAGCTACCGGTCAGTTGGGAATCATGAGCGGGCAAATCTACTGTGGGGGCTGCTGTGATGCAAGTAGCCAACGCAATCATTGACCATCTGCTATCAAGGGTAGTGACTTTGGGAAATGTGCAGACCATTGTGGATGGCTTTAATGTGCTGGGGTTCCCTAACTGCGGCGGGGCGAAAGACGGAACGCTTATCCCTATCTTGGCCCCGGAACACCGGGATGGCCAGTACATAGACCGCAAGGGATACGATTCCATGGTGCTGCAAGGACTGGTGGATCACAAGGGACGTTTCACCGACATCGATGTGGGATGGCCAGGAAAGGTACATGATGCTCGCATCTTCAGAAACTCTGGTCTGTTTGAACAGCTGCAGGAAGGGACTTACTTCCCAGACCAGAAAATTACTGTTGGGGATGTTGAAATACCTATAGTTATCCTTGGGGACCCAGCCTACCCCTTAATGCCATGGCTCATGAAGCCGTACACAGGCACTCTGGACAGTAGTCAGGAGCAGTTGAACTGTAGGCTGAGCAAGTGCAGAATGGTGGTAGAATGTGCGTTTGGACGTTTGAAAGCACGCCGGTGCAGTTTACTGACTCGGTTAGATCTCAGCACAACCAATATTCCAATTGCTGCTTGTTGTGTGCTCCACAATATCTGTGAGAGTAAAGGGGAGACTTTTATGGCGGTGTGGGAGGTTGAGACAACTCGCCTGGTGGCCAGTTTCACACAGCCAGACGACAGGGCGATTAGAAGAGTGCAGCAGGGCGCACTACACATCAGAGAAGCTTTGAAAGCCAGTTTCATGACTGGCTAGGGTACGGTGTGACAGTTGTGTGTGTTTCTCGTAAAGTTACCCGCCCCCTAGATATATGAAAGGAAATAAAGTCACAATTGTTTAAAAACCATTCTTTGTTATTTGTTCCACAAAACATTGAGAGAAATCAGAAGCTAGATGGGGGGGGGGGGGGGTATTGGGTTAGGAGGGCGGAGGAGGAGGGAAGGAGAAGTCCAGAAACCAAATCAAAATTTCAGCTATGCCAGCTTTCTGCTGCTTGTGCAATCCTCTGGGGTTGACTGTGTGGGTCCCCGTAGCATTCCCCCTGCCCGGTGTTCTTGGGCATCTGGGTGAGGAAGCTATGTAACCTGGGGAGGAGAGAGGGCGGTTATACAGGGGCTGCAGCAACAGTCTGTGGTCTTGCTGCCTTTCCCGCATTAGATCCACCATACAGCGGAGCATGTCAGTTTGCTCCCCCATGAGCTTGACCATAGCATCCTGTCTGCTCTCATCACGCGTGTCCCTCCTCTCTTCATATTCCTGTAACGCTTTACGCGACTCCGCAATTGTTTGCCTCCACACATTCAGCTGGGCCCTCTCAGTGTGGGAGGATTGCATGAGCTCGGCGAACATGTCGTCCCGAGTTCGTTTTTTCCACCTTCTAATCTGGACCAGCTTCTGGGATGGAGTAGATAGGGGCCATGTTGAAACATTTGCACCTGCTGCAGGAGGAGAAAAAGGGAGGGTAGTATTTTAAAAGATACATTTTAGAGAACAAAGGGGACACTGTTTCTCAGTGAAACAGGCAATTCATAGTACACAGCACATGTTCTTTCTGTACAAGGTCGCATTTTGCCTCTTATACTGAAGTGCCTGCCACTTTGGTGTGAGTAAGCCATCACATGCAGCCGGGCAACAGAACTCAGCTTGCAGGCAGCCATGGTAAGCCCTAGGGGCACACAGGGTTCTGTGTCTTCCGCATTCATTTCAATGCTTTCAAACTGCTGGGCCCCCTTTCCCATAGCAAGCAATGCCTGGTGGGTTTGCCATATAAAAGGAGGACCTGTGGGCTCTCTGGGATGATCGCTTCACACAATACCCTTCCCCCTCCCCCCAACGCATGGCTCCGTTGAGGCTCTGAGCAGGGATGAGCCCTTTAAACTAAATACGAACAGCCCAGCGCAGCTGGGTTTCCCCCTACCCCCCACCACGTGGCTCTGATCAAGCTCTCACTCACCAGAAGTGCCTTCTCCAGGGTCATGATCCGGGAGCATGCTTTGGGAGTGGGGGGAGGCTATTGGCTCCAGCATTAAGAATAGTTCCTGGCTAGGGGGAAAAACAGATTCCACACTTGCCGCCTGTGCACTGTCTTCCTCCTCCTACTTTTGTCCTCCAAAAACTCATCCTCCTCGCTCCATGCTACACCCCCCTTGCAGGTGTCCACGGACAGTGGTGGGGTAGTAGTGGCGTCACCCCCCATAATTGCATGAAGCTCAAGGTAGAAGCGGCATGTATGGGATTGTGACCCAGAGCGCCCGTTTGCCTCCCTGGCCTTTTGGTACGCTTGCCTGAACTCCTTGATTTTTGTACGACACTGCTCTGTGTCCCTGGAGTAGCCTCTTTCCGTCATGGCCCTGGAGACTTTAGCGTACGTATTTGCTTTTCTTTTTTTGGAACATTGTTCTGCCATAACAGATTCGTCTCCCCAACATGCGATGAGATCCAGTACCTCCCGTTTGGACCATGCTGGAGCTCATCTGCGAATCTGGGACTGCATGGTCTCTTGTGATGGTGGACTCTGCATGGTCGCCTGTGCTGGTGGACTGTGCTGATGGTCACCTGTGCTGATGGTGACCAAACAAGAAATTCAAAAGTTCCCGGGGCTTTTACTGTCTACTTGGGTAGTGCATCGGAGTTGAGCGTGTTGTCCAGAGCGGTTGAAAGGGAGCATTCTGGGACAGCTCTCGGAGGCCAATAACGTCGAATTGCGTCCACGGTACCTGTAACCCAGAGTTGTAATCTCGATTTTAGCGCTACTCCACTTGCCGAGGTGGAGTACAGAAATCGGATTAAAGAGCCCTTTAAATCGAAAAAAATGGTTTGGTCGTGTGGACGGAATCAGTTTTATTTCGAAGTAACTCGGCTAATTCCGAAATAACCGCGTACTGTAGACCAGGCCTAAGCACATCTCCCTCCTCCCAGGTAGTGACTGCAGACTACTTCCCCTGCAGCCTCCTTTTGTTCTCAGCCTGCTGGTTTTGTACCAACCCAGCATACACTTGTTCACCTGAGCTTCATCTTCTAAGGGCTTGGCTATCTACCCTAATTCTTCCCCAGGGGGAGCCTGTTAGGTTAATTAACCCTTTCCCTGCTACCGTAACCTTTTCAGGTGAGGTGTGGAATGAATACCCCATCACAATAACATGCTAGCAAATCTAATACATTATGATCATATGGTTCCTTGTGTGACATATTACTTATATGGATGTTAAGGGAATGACTTGGATCCAAGATGGAGTTGAACATCTAGGGAAAATAACCTTTCAAATGACACATGGCATGACCTTCAGTTCCTAATAAATTAGGAGTATTTTAATACCAACCTGACTGTATATTCAGGATATTGAAAATGATGATGCACCGTGAGCCAGCAGAAGGAGTTGGGTAGAATTATTTCCTTCCCTTTTCTTATCAGAAATATTAGGTATATAGTTGACAGCATAAGTCTTAATATTTGCCTTAGGATGGAGATGCTAGGAATAAGGTCAGTTGGTAATGGTGTTTTTTCCTCTGTCACCATCCTATTCATCCTTTATTTTCTGTTTCATTTCTTCACTTTCCCTGTTTTTAGAAGTAGGGATGGGATTACCCATGTATTACAATTATCTCTTTGCTTAGGAGCATTTTTTGCACAATGGTGATATACGAGCAGTTTGACAAAACTGTGTGGTCACAGAATATTTCAAGCTATTTGCTAATGCTAGCAGAAAGATTCCACTGTGCAAAAGCACAGATGCAGAATTGCTGAAGAGGAATTCTGTGGAATTATCTCTCTTAGGTCCTGGGTTCTGTGTGGGAGGGCATGAAGTTTCTGTGATCCTAAACTAAGTTTAAATCTTTGTGTGTGTTAAAACAATATAACACAAAAGAAATGTTGTGCTTGTGAAAATTCCATGGGGCTATCACTGGAGAACAAAATACTTTTTCATAGCAAAACTGATACATCCAGGGCAGCAGCAGCAGTACAAGTTTCCCCATACTGCCCACTAACCTAATCTGACAGTGATTTAAGGAATGGCTCATTCTTTGTGAGCCATTCAATCCTTGTCCTTATTGGGACTCCAGTGACCCGACAGGTTATTTTTAGGGCCCTATCAAATTCACAGTCCATTTTGGTCAGTTTCACGATTTTAAAAATCGTAAATGTCATTATTCCAGCTATTTAAATCTGAAATTTTGCGCGATTGTAATTGTAGGGGTCCTGACCCAAAAAGGAGTTGGGGGGGGTCACAAGGTTATTGTAGTGGTGGTTGCTGTACTGCTACCCTTACTTCTGCGCTGCTGCTGGCAGCAGTGCTGCCTTCAGAGCTGGGCAGCTGGAGAGCGGCGGCTGCTAGTCAGGAGCCCAGCTCTGAAGGCAGAGCCACCGCCAGCAGCAGCGCAGAAGTAACGATGGCATGGTATGGTATTGCCACCCTTACTTTGCGCTGCTATGTGAAGAGCTGGGTCTTCAGTTAGCAAGCCACTGCTCTCTGGCCGCCCAGCTCTGAAGGCAGCACAGAAGTAAGGGTAAATACTGCAACCCCCCCACCCCAAAATAACTTTGCAACCCCCCCTGCAACTCCCTTTTGGGTCAGGACCCCCAATTTGAGAAACCCTGGTCTTCCCCATGTAGGCACAGTGTCTGTTTTATTAATTATGCAATTTTTCTAGTAGTACATTTTCCCTATGTGAATTTTAAAGTTATTTAAAAGACTATCTGGTTTCTGGATCATAATCCCACCTGTACCTCATTCAAACATCAGCCCTCAGAGAAATTTACATGGGTTTGGAGAAGGATGATATGGGTTTCCCATCCTTATATCCCATGTGTGGGGTGGGGGAGAGCAGGGAGAAAAGAAATGAGGGGATGATCTGTTCTATAATAAGCATACTGTGGAAAAAGGGGTATAAGGTAAATGGAATTCTGATCGCCTGTTTGTATATATCATGGGTCAAGGATGAACTCTACTTTTGGCCTCTCCCACAGTCTCTTTGTGGGCACCTGTTTCAAATGACAGACCTACAACTACACTTCTCTCAGAATGGAGTCCCACATTCACCTCACTTCAGATGGGATTGACTATTCTGCACTACCCCCTGTTTACGAGCCATATTACTTCAGCAGGCCCAAGAGGGTTTGGCTCAGACTGTTGACTTCTCTCTGGAAGTTTGTGACTAGTGTGAGATTACACTGACTCAGGACAGCTACTTCAAAACAAGTATTATTTATTGGTCCGGGGTATATACCAGAGAGAAAAGGATTAAAAATAACAAAAGCCTGCACATGTATTCTCTTACCTGTACTTAGCCTTTCTTTGCCATTTTAAGTTGGCCCCACTTAACCCAGGCAACCCTAATACTGGGGCTTGGTGAGATAAGCTTCTGCGTCTCTGACAGGCTGACTCCCGAATCAGTGTCCCTTAGGCTGTCTTTTATCCATTTCAAAGTTCCTTTGTTCAAGACTTCCTGCCTGAGGATCTCGTGAGATTTCCATCAGGGCTCCTGAACCTGGTTAAACTGGTTTATGCACTTCTTCACCAGAGGGGGTCAGAAGTTGTCTCCCCATAGTAGATTCAGTGTATTGGCCATTTGAACACCAGGCAAAGCCATGTTCCTGGAGTCCTGGTGAAAGCTGGAGTTGGAATTAACTGTCAGGGTTCCATAGAGTTAGCCACGGCACAATAACCATCAAGTCCACAGATGTATTAATAAATCAAGTTAATACAGATATCTCCTATGTTCTTCACAATATACAAAATCTTTCTTCAGTATGGAAAGTACTAATCTGTGGTTAATATAAACTGTATGGAGATATAATATTTGCCTGGTATGCATTGATTGATTAATCAGCTTTTTTTCACCTTAGAATATAAATTTCTCTTCACAGTTCTGCTATGTAATTTGATTATTAAAGTTCAAATATAGACATTGTAATGAACCATTTTAAAATGTTTTATTTGAATACGTTCTCTTAGCCATCCTGACTGAAGTATTTGTTAATATATTGCTTTTCACAGTTATAGTAGGTTTAAGGTTAATTTTAGACACACAGTACATTTTTTAATATGTATTTTATTTGATTTTTTTTGTTTTGCAGTTAATACACTGTTGAATGTTAAATTAAGTGAAACTGAAAGTGGAAAGTATGTTTCTCTTCTGGATTTACCAGGCAACTTATTAATAATACCCCAAGCTACGCTGGGTGGTAGACTGAAGGGAAGAAATATGCAGTATCATTCCAACATTGAAAAAGAAAAAGGGATGGAGCTTTATTCCCATTTTGTAACATTGTGTGAAAAAGAACTGGCTGCTAATACGAAATGTGCTGAAGCAGGTGTTGTTGTTAAGTATGGCACATATGGAAACAGACAGGTGTTAAAACTGGATACAAATGGACCTTTCACTCATATGGTTGAATTTTGAAAGATCACGTTTATGTATAGTATTCTCCAACAACTGTAGAATTTCTCATTTATAAGTGATAATGTGCTTACATTGATTGGAATGTGAAGAAACAGAAATGTTATTTCAGTAAATTTACACAAGTGTTGTCCAGCCCATGTAATACATTGGTTATTAAAAATGAGTCTAACATTCTCATGTGTCTGACCCATCTGTGTATCTGAAATATTTTGTTGTTAATGATTACTTAAGATTCATTGTAGTAAAAACGTGTAAAGCAGAAGTTCTTTTTAAATATATTTAAGATGAGAATAATACATATTTTTGTTGCTTTAAAAAAACATGAAGAAAGGTTTAAGTTCATTCGGAAGTAGATTAAAAAAATTTTGGAAAGGGGGAGCCTGTACAGAAGGGATCAATTCCCCGGGTTCAATTCTCCATTCCTCTATTGATGTAGGCAAGTCACTTAGCCTTTCTGTTCCTCAGTTCCCCATCTGTAAAATAGTAATAATAGTACTTCCCTATTTCACAGAGGTGTTGTCTGAATAGGATTATTAAAGATTGTGACGCATTCAGACACTATAATAATGGGGACCTGTCATAAATATAAAGGGAAGGGTAACCACCTTTCTGAATACAGTGCTATAAAATCCCTCCTGGCCGGAGACAAAGTCCTTTTACTTGTAAAGAGTTAAGAAGCTCAGGTAACCTGGCTGGCACCTGACCCAAAATGACCAATGAGGGGACAAGATGCTTTCAAATCTGGCGGGGGGAAAAGGCTTTTGTTGGTCTGTGTGACATCTTTGCCGGAATAGATCAAGGATGCAAGCCCTCCAACTCCTGTAAAGTTAGTAAGTAATCTAGCTAGAAAATGTGTTAGGTTTTCTTTGGTTTGGCTTGTAAATTCGCTGTGCTGGAGGGAATGTGTATTCCTGTTTTTGTGTCTTTTTGTAACTTAAGGTTTTGCCTAGAGCGATTCTCTATGTTTTAAATCTGACTGCCTGTAAGATTATCTTCCATTCTGATCTTACAGAGTTGTTCTCTTATCCTTTTTTTGTTCTTCTAATAAAGTTCTGTTTTTTAAGAATCTGATTGGGTTTCTAGGATCCTAAGAAACGCAAGCTGGTCTGTGCTCAACTTGTTTATTCTCAAGCCTCCCTAGGAAAGGGGGTGTAAAGGCTTGGGGGGATATTTTGGGGAAATAGGAACTCCAAGTGGTCCTTTCCCTGATTGTTTGTTAAATCACTTGGTGGTGGCAGTGTTTACTTAATTCAAGGACAAAGACTTTGTGTCTAGGGGAAGTTTTAACCTAAGATGGTAGAAATAAGCTTAGGGTCCCCACATCTGTACCCTAGAGTTCAGAGTGGGGAAGGAACCTTGACAGGGCCATATTAGATCACTAGAATGCACACTCAAACCTCACAACCAGAATGTTGCAGGGAAGATGTCTTCTGTGGTGGCACTAGGAGCCATATGGCACATCCCTGCCTCCAGTCAGGTACCTTTTTGGAAAGAAACTGCAGGGAACAAACAGCCAAGGAAGGAAGCCATCACAGCAGCTGCAGAAAGCAGCTCAAGGAGGGACCAAAGGACACTGATGAGGTCATCAAGCTGCTTACTAGAATTTTCACTGTGAGCATTCTCTGCCCTGTGCTAATTGCTTCCTTTTTCTTTCCATGTAGCTAATCTCCTCCTAATATAACTCAATGGAAAGGAATTAAATAACAAAGCAAAAATAAAAATAAAAAATCTGGAACTAATGGGACATCTGCAGCCATCACATTGCTCACCGTGCCCGTGTGTTGCTTCCTTTCCCCCTATCTTTTGTCTGTCTTGTCTGTTAAATTGTAAATGCTGCGGGACAGGGACTGGCTCTTCTTTTATGTACAGTGCCGGCACAATAAAGCCCCGTTCTTGGTTGGCCTGTAGGTACTGCTATACTAAACATGATAAATAATTAATGGTGTATAGAAAGTAGATCGGAAGCTTCTTTGTGTTACTAGCCAGGGACAACAGAACAAAGGGGCATTCAATTAAATGAGGTGGCAAATTCAAAACTGATAAAAAATGTTCACTCAATCTGTGATTAAAGTGTGGAACATGTTGGCACGCGATGTTGAGGCAAACAATTTAGCAAAATTGGACAATTATATGGATATCAAGAATATCCACAATTATAATATGTGTGAAAAGAAATCTGCAAAGGATATAAAACTTCATGCCTCAGGATTTATGCCACTCTCTAACTATCAGGGGGTTAAGATGATACCTTCATGGGGGGCAGATTACTTCACCTTGGTTTACTTCACTGTGGAGTTTCTTGCACCTTCCCCAGGATCATCTAGTTCAGGCCACTGTTGGAGACAGGATATTTGACTAGGAGGAACACTTCTCTGATCCAGTATGGCAATTCCTATGCAACACAATGAGCTGTATTCTATTCTGATGCATACCTATGAAATCCTGAATCATGGCCCAATATCTGAAAGTATTTGACTTGTGTTTAGTTTAGATTCAAATAAAATATACTTTAGTGTACATTAGTAATCTCCAGGATCAAATTACGCCATCACAACAATCTACATTTTCTCCATAGTTTATTTTTTAATACAGGAGATTGATAGTATTATTTCAGATTTGTCAAACTATACATTTGTTGGTAATTACAAAGTGCTTAGGGATGTTTATTTCCTGGGAATTATTTTTTTTTACAATTCAAAAGGAAATGGAACTATGCACATAAATCATTTGGAAACATTTATTTATGAACTCAGTCCCAGATTATACATTTACTCATTAATAATTCACTATCTGTTTATAACAGACACAGTGACTCATTTAAATTCCTAGTAAAGAACCCTATATAAGAGAGATTGTTCTGGTGGAAAATTTGTGCAAATTCATTAAATTTCTATTGACTTGGAAAACCTTTGTTTTTCATACCTTCCCCTGTTTCAGGCCAACTCCTAAAAAGTGCTGAGCAGCGGCAGGTTTCAGTGACTCAAGAGGAATGGCTGGAGGCCGATACATCTCAGAAATTGATCCTTTGATGTGTTTTCTAACAGAGAATCAGTAGGTTTTTATGCCCTTAATAGCTTCAGACAATCTTTTGAAATTTATGGATTATTTTACTGTATTTGAAATATTTCTGAGAAGGGTAAAGTTGGAGGTTAACAAAAATACAACAGAGACCAGATTTCAGGCCAAATTATACCCTGACTTGTTACTGTCCAACTCCACAGACTTCAGTGTGGCTCCATCGCATGTAAATCGGAACAGAATTTGCCACCTCATGCCTACAAAAACTTATGTTCCTGTGGGTTGTTGCCATTTTGTTTATTTCTCCCAGGGTACTATTTCCTGCTTGCAGGAGTTCCCTTCTACCGTCTTCTGTTTCTAACAGTCTCAAAGGTCAGTGGTTGCTGGTTGGTGAGCTCATTTCTACTGCTACATCTATTGCTTTATGAGCCACTTATCGAAAGAAACTATTTATAAAGTGACAAATACATTGATTTTTTTCAAAGCCAGATATGCCTGTTTCTAAACTGAGCAATGCACAAATGATAGAGTCTGCAAATGTGAATTATGTCCTCAGCTGCAATCGTTTTCTTTCTGTCCTTAGGCTGCTCCAAGTGCTGCAGCTCCCTTCCTGTGCTGGTTGTGGAAGACTTTACCTTTGCTTTCACATACATTATGCAATAGGCAAATATTATAAATGTTACATTCGTCACTGAACTTGGATTGGGGTTAATAGACCTATCTCTATCTTGCATTCAGTCTCGCAGAAGCACATTTCACTATGACCCTGCCTTCACCTGCTTAGAGTACAGGTTTGTGTAATCTGGAAATTGTTTCACTACCAATTACAAAAGATGATAGGAAAGGTCACCCAAAATCAAGTGGAAACAGAGACAGCAATGCTAGGTGGGAATAGAGTTCCCTCTGCCCACTTCTTAGAAGTCCAGAGTTTTTAAAACTTCTTGCATCTTATACTTTTCTTGGTCACCCTATGTACAACTCCAGAAATCTGCAACAGAGATCCACTGAGTCCTGAGTAGTACCCTTTTCTGTTAATGCACTCTTAGTTTATGGTGAGAAACAGAATGAGCACATAGGCACCATCCTGCTAAATCTCTGAATGACCTTTGGCATATTGGCCACCTTGATCTCACCCTTATGCCATGCATACATTGCCATATGCTATGTGACACCTCTCTGGTAACAGCACTGACTGTGAACTTCCAAACCTTAAACTAGAGCTAACTGATCGGCAAATACCTGTGGTAGCTAAGGCCTGGTCTACACTACGAGTTTAGGTCGAATTTAGCAGCATTACTTCAATTTAACCCTGCACCCATCCACATGACAAAGCCCTTTTTTTTATTTAAAGGGCTCTTAAAATGGATTTCTTTACTCCACCCCCCGACGAGGGGATTAGTGCTGAAATCGGCCTTGCTGGGTCGAATTTGGGGTAGTGTGGCCGCAATTTGACGGTATTGGCCTCTGGGAGCTATCCCAGAGTGCTCAACTGTGACCGCTCTGAACAGCACTCTCAATTCAGATGCACTGGCCAGGTAGACAGGAAGAGGCCCAAGAACTTTTGAATCTCATTTTCTGTTTGCATGCGAAAGTTTCGCAGCCACTGGGAATTGTCCCAGACCTGCAACACTGTGCGGTCTCACCAGTCTGTGCTTGTTTCCCAGGCCCAGAATCGGCGTTCCATGCCATGAACCTGCCCAATTGACACCATGATGTGCACATTGCATTACTTTGTGAGAAGTCTATGTCCATGTCCTCATCACTCTCATCACCGCGCTGCAGTTGCCTCCTCCTCGCCTGGTTCAGCTTTTCTTGCAGGTTATGGTTCTGCATATCCTGCTGGATAATGCGCGTGGTGTTTATAGTGCTCATAACTGCCGCAGTGGTCTAAGCGGGCACCATGTTTCCAGTGCTATGGAGTCTGCACTGAAAAAAGGCGCAAAACGATTGTCTGCCATTGCTCTGACGGAGGGAGGGGCGACTGACAACATGGCTTACAGTTTTTTAAAATCAACAAAGAGGGTGGCTTTGCATCAAGGAGAAACAGAATGGCTCCCTCAAGGATAGAACTCAAAACCCTGGGTTTAGCTGGCCGTTGATTTCACAGAGGGAGGGAGCGGGGAGAAAATGAATACAAAACAAATCTGGTCTATTTC